GTTCGAGAACATTTATCGTTCACCTTATAAAAGCAAGCGGTGTTTAGGAATTTTGAATTTCAAATATTTTAATCCATGCATCAAACGTCTATATACGTGTATTCTCAAAATAGTATGAAAAAGATAAAAGTATTGAATGTTGAACGGGACGAACATCATCGGTCTGCTGTTTACGACGTATATAACCAATTATTCATTCATCTCATGTTTAACGTGCGGCAAGTAATGTTTAGTTTTCCGCCAGAATTCCGATTAATAATTATTGTTCGTTCCTGAAAAAAGAACCTATATTTAAACATCGAAAAATATCTAAATATGTGACTAAGCGCACATACTTCAAATTTGAAACAATACAAGTACAACAACTAATAATATTCCAAGCGATATGACTCTTAAATAGGAGCGGCCTGTAGCGGCATAATGCAACGTGTCTGCAGGAATTCGAGTTTAGATTGAGAAAACTCTAAATGCTTTTGAATAATTCATCAACCACTATTATTGAAATAATGATATTATTTCTGGCATCCATATTCTACAAGCGTCGATGGTGGTTTTTCTATGGAGCTCGAAGGGGTGCGCACACAGTTGTTATTAAAAACGACCAACAGATGCGACAACTCCTGAGGCATTTGTGTGCGATAATTAATTGCCAAAGCTGTTGTTATGTGCAGAAATTAATTTGTATTTAAATAATGATTTTGAACGAGGGGAAACTCGCGACGAACGCTTTCCGAGTTTTATTTCTGACGTAATTTACGCGCATGTAAAAATAGAAATAATTAGATTTATCCGCGTGTATATAGGAAAAAATAGAAATGTTTACAATTCAAAATGGCCGAAAGCCAAGAGGCAAAAAGTCGTCCATTGTTTACTGCAGACAAAAAGCCGTATCCCATATTATATATACTCCTGTAACACAACCACTCGAGCTTCAACAGATGCGAGTCTCAGTCGAGTGAGAACTATGAGTTGTTATCATTATTAAAACCGAATGTGAAAGACGCAGAGTTGCAATGTCCGTTAATTCATTAAAATACTTAATGTATTTTTATTATTGATTTAATTTACCTTTTTTAGATGAAGGTAGGTACTTCATTTTCAGTTGAACATCCCACGAATGTCTTTTGTCCATCGGCCATTATGATCATTTCTATAACCCTATAACCATTATTTTCTGTTTGGGTTTCTGGATTTACACCACATATTGTGCTCTAAAAGTAAATCACAATTATTGTTTGAATGAAAATACAGCTTGTCAGGCTTTTATTTTTTCAAGTAAATGTTGATTAAATGTCACTGTCTTTTTTAATTACCTACACGTCATTTATATATTGCTCTTTGTAGTAGATATTTTTGTAATAGTCAGTCAAAAATTCGAAATATACTTGAGTTATTATATAATAATTATTAATTTCAAATGTTCAATAAATTTGTATTCTATACTTATATGGCTATTTTTTTGTTTTATTTTTAACTTATAAAATTCTATGAAACGTGGACAAAAAATATTATACAAGAATAGAAATTGCAATAATTGTTTTAAACTATTTGCACATATTTTCATGGTGAATTATAGAAATATTTACAAGTCGATTAAACAAATAATTTCACATGAGCTATAGATTATGAAATAAATTAGTAGTTTATAATCTTTACCTACAGTTATAAATTATAATTTTAAATAATACTAATTATTTGTTTTAAGAATGTATCAATTTCTCAATATTTGTAATGCAATAAATGTGTATTAAACCATCATCAAAACACCTTACTTTCATTGTGTCTGTTCACTGTTCGTATACTTTTGTTTATTTATTAATAGTACGAGTATTATAGTTTTTTATTAGCTTATTATTTTTTTTACACACAATTATTTTTAAAATTAAAACAAAGACAGTATTTATTATAATATTTTCCTTGGTTTTAAATGTAGACAATACTTCTATAGTTATGAAGGAGAGGTGGGTGGTCGGTGAAGGAACTTCTATTGTTTATTTCTTGAATCAAACTATTTATGTACAATTTTTTTTTTAATTAAGAAGTTTTCAACTATTATTATAGTTATAAGTAATCAAATTTTAAATTAAATATGGAGACATTATAAGTCTTACTTTAGGACACGAGAATCTTACGTTTGGTACACGTTTCACTTATTTTTTGCTGGATAGTTACGGTGTGTCGTATTATACATTATTATTGATAGCAATAATAAATCATTGCTTTCAAAAAACGATTCGAGCGTAGAACTTGTTGAAGTTTAAAAAAAAATTATGGTTGGTATTGTTTGCTGTTGGCGTTTTTGCGCTCAGAAGAACAAATTTAGAAATTATGAGCTTGGTTTAACCTCTCTTTTGAAATATTATCCATAATATATTTCTGATCTATAATACTATAAATGTAGTAGGACAAGAAACTTCTTAATCGTCTGTCTACCCTTGAGTGCCCAGAAAGATATGATGAGATATATACTTAAAGATTTTGAAAAAAAATTTATAAGTGGGTGTCTTTTATACCACAAAAAATTGTTTTTCGAATACAAACATTTATTATTGTTTTAAAATCAACAATTACAATATTCCGTCACTAACTCGCAGTAGATAGCTATTTCGGACCAAAGCGAAATGAAGAAACTTGAAGAGTAATTATTAAGAGTTTATAAGAGTAATAATTGTTCAAATTATTTTATAATAATAATATTATTTTGAAATAGTTTTCCTGACAATGTGTTGTTCTAGTGATTTGAAAGAACGATTATTGTATTTTTATTCTATTTCATTTTTCTTTACAGTTGATATGACTATATTATATTACATTTTGGTCGACGGTCTATAATCACGTCTGAAACCGTTTAACTGTACTTTCCATTTTTTTAATTTTGAATCTATAGATTAATTTTAAATACTAATGTTATAACTAATAAAATATTTAATACTCTGTATTATAGTAATTTTTAATGTTATCGGTATGTACAGATAGGTTTTGGATTTTCACAGTATATACGAATTGTATTTTGAATCGATGTGGTGAATGGTCTCGTTTATACACAGGTGAAATATTTTATCCTTTTGCCATATAGGCATCATATTATATTATATAGTACGCACTCTGTATCGTACAGTCTCGTCTATATTGTCGTGCACGACAGGTGAATAAATACCTGTAATTAGCTCCGACCACACAATTTCCAACTTATATATGTATATTGTATATAATATATCCTATATTATATACAATACGCAATTAGCATCTGTTTGCATTTGTTCTGTGGTGTTACATTATTATATTATGTTATTCGTCGACACGTGTGTTAGTGTTATACTGGAAAAACTAACGTTCCCTTCGATTATTTAAATGTTCACACAACTGCTTTACGCTACTCGCTGGCTTACGCTTTCGTCCAATTATACGTCATAAATACAACGTTTCGCTCCAAACCTTATAACGATTTTGTGTAGATTACCGTAAATTTAACGAACGCGAAATTTATTCGTCCAAATCAGTCGGGTTTGTTAGGTACCGCTTTTACTATGCCGCATTTACAATAAATTGTTAGCATATAGTTACGTGTTTGAATATATCGACGGCTTAGTGAAAAACAGATAGGTATATTATAATATGTGAGTTTTGACCCAAAATACGTGCCTTTAAATATTAAGTAGATGTTAAATTATCTTTGTTTTTTAATACACCGCCTATATGTGTCTAAAAACAATAAAAATGGTTACTTCTAAAAATATGAAACCTCGTCCACTTGTCGTTGCTGAATATGATTTTGTGCTCTTGGTCGGCCGCAAAAATACTAATATGCAGATCAAAACGAATTGGGATATTTTAAATATCATATTTATCATATTTTACAAAGGTGCGTACTGAAAATGTTTTATAGCTTTATTCGTTTGTAACGACTAATCTCACATACAGTAGCGTTGAGAGTACAGAGGTATTAAGACCGTTTGATAAAAGACGGATATTTAGAAATTCTTGACCACATATTGAATTTATTATTTAGAGAAGTCGAAAGTGTTCGCAGACGCATCGAACCGTGTGTCGGTTGGACACGGTTGGAAGTCTCCAGACGAGGAACGTCGGAGGCTCTTTAACACGCGATATTGTCTTATCACATACTTACTTGTATAAACATATATATAATTTACTGTAATTTATTGTAAATACTTTAATCATACGATATTATGTGTTATGTATTATGTAATAACTATTACTGCTATTTCATTCAGTCTTAAATTAATATTATTAATGACTACTTAATTATTTTTATACCATATAATATAGTGTTGTTCATAAGAATTATTATATAGTTTTTATGCTTGTAATAATAATATATTGTTCTTCCGTTTTTGTTCCACCAAACAAGTGTTTGCCTATATGGCTATAAATAATAATAATAATAATAATGTATTATAAAATACTGAAAAAATAGAGAATATTATGTTCATAAGTATGTTTAGTTCAACTTTTATATACACTTAGCATGTAAATTGTAAATGTATCGCTTAAGTATACTTATATATATCTAATAATGCACCGATGTAACATAATCCTATTAACGTATTGAAACAGTTGTATCACGTTCACATTATTATGTATTTTAAACGATTGTATACAAATGCGTGAAAACGCATATCGTTTAATAATAATATGCGCTTGTTTTAAAACTGTATTTTCATATATTATATAGAATATAATAAACCTAATATGGACTCGCGGCTGCTCTACCAGTTATGTTTATCTTTAGCTTAAGTTTATCATAAATAATAACTATCTAAATTATTTGAATTTTTCGATTTATTTGGCCTCTGTCCTCCAACTTCATCCCGCAAACATTCCATTTCCGTCTTTCGCCAATTCCTCGTTATCGGGCTTAGATTAAATCGGAAAGACGACGTTTTTATTAGTCATCAATATCGTAGAAACATAAACTTAATTAGAAATTGTCCCAGTTTTATCGGCATACACGCTTATGTGATATTTTTATTGTTAAGACTCCCGCGACGACCGGATACCCACCAACGCCGCCAAACTGAACACGCGTGTCTGATCGCCATATTGGTGTTCGTGTGATTTCAGAAGAAACCGGTCGTCGTCGTCAGCGGTTTATGATCGTGATGTGGACGTCGTCCCGGATCGGTCGCCAAGTGGCCTCTGCGTTCGTATGCAGCCGTCACCCGCAGCTGCTTCACCGGCAGCACCAGTACCAGCACCAACTCCAACACCAACAGCATCACCAACAGCATCACCAACGGTATTTCTCGACGGCAAACGAAGCGGTGGCCACACCGTTGCGTTGCACCAAGAAAAAATCTGACCGGGCGCCGCCCAAGCACCTGGTGGACGTGAAGGCGGTTCGTGCGGCCGGTGGTCGTGGCGGTGACGGGCGCGTGTCGTTCATGAAGCTTTTTGGCAACGAGAACGCAGGCCCGGACGGCGGCGACGGAGGTAACGGTGGTCATGTGGTGTTCCGCGCCGCCGAGAACGTGACCGGGCTAGGGCACGTAGCCGTTGAGCTTAGGGCGCCTGCCGGCGAGCGGGGCTACAACAAGGACTGCCATGGCAAGTGCGCTAGTCACGAGTACGTGGACGTACCGGTAGGCACTGTGATCAAGGATGGCGACGGCCGCGTGGTTGGCGACTTGAGCCGGCCGGGCGTCATGTTCGTGGCAGCCAGGGGCGGGGCGGGTGGCCACGGGAACCGTTATTTCGCCACGGACACAGAGCAAGCCCCCGAGGTGGCAGAATTGGGTGGCGCGGGGGAGGTACTCCAGTACACGTTGGAACTAAGCAGCATCGCCGACTTCGGGTTGTTAGGCTTCCCTAACGCCGGCAAGAGCACGCTGCTCCGAGCTATCACCCGGGCCCGACCCAAGGTCGCACCGTACCCGTTTACCACCCTCCAGCCGCACTTGGGCGTGGTCCGGTACGACGACCAGGAGTCTGTGGCCGTGGCCGACCTGCCGGGGCTCATCGAGGACTCGCATCGGGACCGCGGCCTGGGCGTGTCCTTCCTGCGGCACGTGCAGCGGTGCACCGCTCTGTTACTAGTCGTGGACCTGTCCGCGCCCGAACCATGGACGTACGTGGACGTGCTCAGGCACGAGGTCCGGTGTTTCTCTGCCACGGTGCTCGACCGGCCGCAGCTGATCGTCGCCAACAAGGTGGACGTGGACGGTGCTCGAGACAACCTGGCCGAGCTCAGGCGCCGGTTGCCCGACGACGAGATCATCGAGATATCCGCCAAGCACGGTGTCAACTTGGAGCGTCTGCTTAAGCACATGAAGCGAGTGTACGACCAACGGCGCAAATCTGTAGAATCGGAAGCTGATGCAGCTGACTTTGATTAGGCTGAAGTACTGAAACGATGGTAGATCATCTCGTCGTATTGTCGTATTATTATCGTACCTTATATAGGTCGTTATCTAAAATATGATTTTTGTGTTCCATACATTTGTGTTTTATATTCAAAAATGTATACTAAATAATAATAAAATAATGACTATGCCTTTATACTCATACTTAGAAATCATTGTTTTTATTTAATCAGAACTATACCTATCTTTACCACTTTTACACATTTAAGTCGTTTCAGTCCGCAAAGCGTATAGCGTAATTTTTTTTCATACAGATCTTTTGACATATCATGTAATGCGATTATGTGTTACAATTCTAGATTTTTGTTAATCAAGCTTATTTATAAATCTGATTGTTTTTAAATGTTTAGTATTTTGTTAGGCGCCTTCCGTTTGAGGAGTTTCCAGGATCCGATAAATTATTTTATTTACTTTCGTTTTCATGTATTCATGTATCTACGACATTCTGTTAAAATGTGTTTTGTAGTGAATTCCGCACTATAGACGACGTTAGGGGATCTTTGGCCATTAGGTTAACTTTTAAATTTTTGTATGTATATTTCTTAGTCTAAATTTAACACGGACTCAACTTTTTCGTGTTGTTCGTCGGCCACTTCTCTGTTCTTTTTATTTCGCTAAATTTTTAATTCTGTTTTTATTCCATATCTGGAGGTTTTTCGGTGTCGGTAGAGTGGATTCTTATCTGCTGTTTCGGTACCTTGAATGTTACTATGGCCATATTAGTGGGTTTTTTTTCTTTAGCTTATTTAATAAATTTTTATGTTTTGACTGATATTTCACTGGGTTTGAATCGATTTTGAAGGCTTGTTAGTGCACTTGGTGAGTAGGTAAGGATTAGCCAATAATATTCGTATTGGTTTGAGATATGTATATTGAACTGCTGCTTGGATGGCTATGATTTTTTCGGTATAGATTGAATAGTGGTTTTTTTTTTGTATAACGCTGTGGTTTTTGTGGTGACGGCTATTTTAACTCCTTCGTCAGATTTAAATTCGTCGGCGTATATTTCTACATATATTTAGCTGTTTTTAATACTGTTTATTAGAGGAGAGTTTTGGTTTTAGGGAGTAGGTTTTCAATGAAATTCTCAGACATTTATTTCGAACGATTTGAAATTTATAAAATTATTATTTTAGTTACTTTATTAATAACTATACTTAATAAAATTCTTTTATTTTATTGCGCAATGTAATAGATTTTTTTTGTTTATTGGTGTGTGTTTTCCCATAAGGTTGGTTTAATAATAAGGACATTTCAGCAACATATATTTTAGTCACATCGTCCTAATAATGTTCTCTTATTTGATAAGTATAAAGTATATAAAAAACAGTAGGTACTATTTTTAATGTTACACCCCCTTTTCTTTTTTCTTTGGCATGATATCGAATAAAAATTTCATATCTTTTTATTGCAAAAATTTAGCTTAACATTTTTTCTGTAGTGGTAGACTATCGGTTTTTTCCCCATGCGAATCCGTTTTTCTATAACTTTTCATAATTGCAATCTTTTGTTTTTATCCTTTTACATAACAACCAATAATAGCTGTAATATGGTATATATCACTTGTAAATTATTTTGAGTACCTAAATATTGAAATATCTTTAAGATTCAAAAACATAATTTTTCTTAAAATAGTTTTTAAAATTAGGTAGGTATAACGATATTGGTTTGGTATAAAACTCCTTCAGAAGTGGACAATATTTCTCGGAAACTGCGAATAGTATAAAGTATTATACGCGTTGAGGTATTAAACCCATAACTAATGCGATTGGCCTATTAGTTATTATATACCAGGTATAGGTTAGGTTAGGTTGGGTATATCTGGGAGTGTATACATATGTAATATACGTATTATATGATATATAATTTACATGTAATATATATTTATGTACCTCGAGTTACGCAACGATGAAAACATTATGTTCTAGTCGGGTATAAAGATCGCGGCATTTACACGTCGGTCTCTCTGCCAAAGATTTCTGAAGCCAAGAAAAAAAACTGAAAATAATGAAAAATAACCCTCACTTATACGTATACATTTATAATGTATACTCACAAATAAATCACGCATGGAATCGCATAAATCACCCGAGGAAAAAGCACCCCCCACCACCGCACACGAGTACTGCTGCGCGTGTCATAGGTAATATAGCTTACCTATGTATAAAATATATATATATATATATATTATAGAGTCGACGAGCGGTAACCGTGTGTATGGTTAAGTGTATATTATAGTATAATATGCTAATGAAGACCGATACGCGCCACCAAAGAGAGAGTTATCGCGGCTCGGGCCGTATGCGAATATAAATCTTCGAGATTTGATTGTTTAATCGGCGAGTCGTGTGCTCGTGACCGACCGACACAGGAAAGATTGTCGTCGTGTACATCCATTGTTGCGGGGACGAAATGGCGGAAGAGTCGTTTTAAATCGCATACCGAAAAATCTGGACCACGCGGGGGATCGATGATGCGAAACCTGTTATTATTGTCGTCGTTATTATTGTTATTAAATATCGCGTCGACCATACGCGTAATTGGATGATTACACATGGCAACGAATAACGATATAATTGCTCCGGTGCAGACTATATTATAGGTATATCGAGGATGAAGCGAAATAGTATTTTGTTGTGCAGAGTATAAGTTAGTTTATTTGTATAAGTTCGTTGTTTTCAAAATTTTTCGGAATGTGAGGCCCCCTTGATTATATGTAATATAATGACTGTTTTGGTCGCTTATTAAGGTTCAGAATTTTAATTTTACCATCAAAATCGCGTTAAAATAATAATAGGGATTTTTTTCTTAACCTTGTACTAAACTTAATGTGTTGAACTCAGATCAAATAAATACCAAATGCATAAGTAAGTATATAGGTTTTGTTATACGTTTGAAAAAATTTTATAATCATTTTAAACTTTAAATGTGCATAGATTATAGGTACATCACTCGTATATATATAAGGTTATGCGACTTGTGCTGTCTATGGTTTTTTTTTCTGTGTACCCGATTTAAAGCTAATTGGTCAAGTCCACTGTGTTTCAATTAGGTTTTTGAATTTTAAATGTCATTGTTATGATCGGTTGACGTGCGTATTGATTAATCTTCCACAGTCCATGGTCGATCATACCTACGCGCTCTGACATTTTTCAATTTGATTTGGAAAACAGTTCAATGTGTATGTAGACTATATATAGTGTAACTTCAGCAATGTATCATTAATTATAATTTATAATATTCAAATATGAATATCATATATATACCTAATATAATATAGTATTATAATAGTTAAATTAAATGATTTTTGTTCAGACATATTAAAATTATAAGAAAAAAGTAAAAACTTGACTATTCTTATATTTATATACATTTATACATTATTTAAGAATATAAGCTGCCGTGCTTTATTTTCCAAACGCATTGTTTGTTTATAAAGTTTTGTTTAGTAATGTTAGAGTATCATTTTTACGTAATATGAACTTGGTCTCTCCCTCAAGTGTCTTTCACTTCACCCCTAAAATGTGCTATTGACTTTATGAATTTATGTACTCGGACGATTCGTCGTACCATACACCATTGATCAAAAATTAATGTATGCTCAATTGCTCATTGCATGACCGCATCAGTCAACAGACAGTCGATCGATTGACAGTTGGAACACACGTTGTATAATAGTTGATTTATAATTTTTATTTTATAACTGTTGTTTAAGTAAATACCAAATAAATAGTTCATTATATAGTTGGCAATAAATAACGTCCGTTCAAATGCAATTTTGCAACAATCAAACTATACCGGGTGATCCATTTAAGTTAAATGATTTAACTTATACATTATATATATGTAGTAATAAGACGAACTTGGACCACAACTTTTCCGGGGTACAGTTGAATTTGACTTCGAAAATTAGCATTATGTGTATAATCAAATATACATCGAGTTTAAGTGTGTAGAAAAATAATAATAAAATACGCATAATTATTTAAGCCACCGGGGGGTATAAACTTTTGTCTTTTTTTTATTATTTAATGTTTATTAAATCATTTGAAACCCGCCGTCCCCTCCGTCGCTTTATTAATTCGCGTTCGGCGCACCAGAAGACGTCAGTATTATGTATACATGTATATTATATTCACTCGTAATTGAATTTATGAGCCTCGCTCGGCCCTCAGACCTAAACGCCGGACCCGGAGCGGGGGCGAAGGTGGATGCGGAAACTTTCGGTTTCGAATAAAATGTATACGTAAAATAATAATAATAATAATTGTTGAATTTTGCAGGGCACGTGAACGCCTGTGTGTGTGTGTGTGTGTGTGTGTGTACACTGTACAACACTATATATATATTATTATTCTATGGCGGGAGCGCGGCGAAACGCGTAAAAGGAAAAACGACGACGACGACGACGCTCGGGTCGTTTCGGGCTCGCGTATTTTATGCATTGCGCGCTCGGGAATAAAATACGCGTCTACGTCGCGTGGGTAGCAGCTTGTCCGTGGCAATAAATATATATTTTACGTCACCCACCCCAAAAAAGTAGGAAAAAAAAAACTTACGTAAATATTTACTCTTCCGGGGAAACCCGTGCCCTATATATGGAGTGCGGTGTACCGCCACCGCCGCCGCCGCCAGGGGAATTGCAGAGCGCGTCTTCTTCGCCGCTCCGAACCGGAAGTATTGAGATTTATGAAAATAACCCGAACCGAACGAAATGTGCGAGTACATATATATGTAGTATATACGGTTTTACGACTTGTCCGTCTGTCGTTGGCTTATTTTGGATCTCTGTGCAGGTCGTAGGCTGCTAATATTATAGTTTATTCGAGTGTACCAATGTGTTTTATAATTTAAGGGAAATAAAATTTTACTTTTCGATTCCGACTGGCATACAGTGACAGACCCGCTCGACCGACGTTTCGCGTAATATGTTATCTGTATAACAATAAAAATTGATTCTGTGAATAAAAAATAAAAATGTATAACATTTTTATAAGAGTATAAGACAATGCTGCGAGGTCTTAATACTTAGCGAATATTCAATTTTAGAAATTGATCATTCGTGAAAGAACACATTATTATCTATATGTTTTTAACTGTAATCTATATTCAAGCATATTTTAAAAGAGTACATATTATTGTATGTGACTAA